GAATGTTTAGCATATCTAGCACGTAAATACCTTGCAATGCCGGCTACAAAAGTGCCATGCGAATGCCTGTAAACAAGCAGGCAGCATTATCTCCCGTAAATGTAAACAAACTTGTTTGTGTTAGTAATTGGCTGAACAAGAAGTAGGACTGAGTGGACTTGTAGGCTCAAAATTTTACTTTTTTTTATTTGCCGTTATGTAACAACAACAAAAAAAATCTACATTTGTAAGTTGCACTTTCACGATAAAGAGATCACATTACAGTACTTCTGAGGTGAATTGAAAAATACTATTTCGTTTATCATTTTTACAAAGTAATATAAAGTGAGCACTGTACACTTTGTATCGTGTTGTAATTGAAATCAATATATTTGAAAATGTAGAAAAACATCAAAAAATATTTAATAAATTTCAATTGGTATTCTATTGTTTATCAGTGCAATTAAAACTGTGATTATTTTTTTGAGTTAATCGCGAGTTAACGGCAATTAATCAACAGCCCATCTAATTTATAATTACTTCTATTCTTAATACTCTTAGCTATGTCACTGGAGACATTCCACACAGCTTTTTTACATCATTTTTTAAATTTGCAATTCATTTAAACAAGCTACAATGGTAGGTGCCTTAACTGAAACAAAACCAGTCTCAGAGAACCCTTTTAAAATGCCCCAGCTGCTGAAGCTGCAGCTTCCGCCTGGGAATTGCTATTGTGGCAGGATTTTGCAGCTTGGATGATGCAGGATCCTGCAAGCTCAAATCCAGAAGCAATGTGAATATTTTATAGCCAGGTAAAGCATACACCACGAGGAGGAAAGACTACTGGGAACAGGGAGGAAGAGAGTGAGCGTAGTGCTTACCTTTGACTACCAGCCAAGTATCCTAGTAGGCCTCCTGTTCCGAGTCCAGTCCAAAATCCTCCTCCTAAATTGGCCTCAGAACCGGAACTGCCACCAAAACCACCAGCTCCTTAATTCAAATTGCAAACGGAAAAACAAAACTATCAAATATGAGTCAGTGGCAGTTAACCATCATGCCATCCTCAGAGTCAATAATATGAATAATATTAAATAATTATTTTAACAAAGAAGAATTGTGAGACTGACTCCAAATGACTTCAATGGCCTTCAATCCTTCAATGGATCAATCCCCATTTGAAGAACTTCAGGGAGCTGTTCTGCTCTGGAAAGTGACTACATTAAAAAATGAGCCTGGCTAGCTCAGTTGGTAGAGCGTCAGACTTTTAATTTGAGGGTCCTGGGTTCAAGTCCCTGCTCAGGTGGCGGGACCTTCCCCCTGTGATAGCCTCCTACAACTTCAGATGGTGTCTCCTCAGGACTTTCCTTAACATTTCCTTGCAGGAGGGGAAATAGCTCAGTGGTTTGCGCATTGGCCTGCTAAACCCAGGGTAGTGAGTTCAATCCTTGAGAGGGCCATTTAGGGATCTGGGGCAAAAATCTGTCTGGGGATTGGTCCTGCTTTGAGCAGGGGGTTGGACTAGATGACCTCCTGAGGTCCCTTCCAACCCTGGTATTCTATGAAATGGCACCTTCTGTTTGTATTACAGTAATGTTTAGTGCAGGGGTCAGCAACCTTTCAGAAGTAGTGTGCCAAGTCTTCATTTATTCACTCTAATTTAAGATTTTGCATGCCAGTAATACATTTTAACATTTTTAGAAGGTCTCTTTCCATAAGTCTATGATATATAACTAAACTATTGTTGTATGTAAAGTAAATAAGGTTTTTAAATGGTTAAGAAGCTTCATTTAAAATTAAATTAAAATGCAGAGCCCCCCCAGACTGGTGGCCAGGACCCGCAGTGTCAGTGCCACTAAAAATCTGCTCGCGGACCACCTTTGGCACACATGCCATAGGTTGCCTACCCCTGGCTTAGTGGCTCCATCCAACAATGTCTTTGTTACTAGACATTGCACAAGAACACATTAAGAGACAGTCCTTGTACTAAAGAGCTTATACAGGCAAGACAGATAAAGCATGAGAGGTGAAACAAAGGTGAAGCAACTCATCCAAGCTCACACAGCAGGTCAGTGGCAAAGCTGGGAACAGAACCTCGCTCAGTGCCTTATACATTAGACCACCTGCCTCCCAGTCTTCTCACTCAACAGATTTGCTGCCATTTTGAGTAAATAAGTATGTTGAGTAGTAGACCTCTATCCCGATATAACGTGACCCAATATAACATGGTAAAGCAGCACTCCAGAGGTGCAGGGCTGCGCACTCCAGTGGGTCAAAGCAAGTTCGATATAACGCGGTTTCACCTATAACGCAGTAAGATTTTTTGGCTCCCAAGGACAGCGTTATATCGGGGTAGAGGTGTATGTGCTCAATCTAATGACTAAAACAACACTACCACATTTTTCTCCTGGTAGTTCTGTCTTAAGTGTGTGTTAACAGAACTGTTAACTAAGATCAGATTGCAAAATCTTCATTATTGGTGATGCATGAGTCAGGGAAAACCCAGCTGGACTTAAATCTCTGGTTGAACCTGCAGAATTATCAGTTAGAAAAAGCCATATTTTTAATTGTAAGCAGAAGCCTTTTAACCTGGAGTCAGAGGCAATGTGGAATTTCACAATGTCATTTACAGTCACATTTTAGAGTAGAACTGCACTCTAACCTCCAGAGATAAACATATTAATAATCACTAAAAATAAAAAATAAAAAGTGAAGTGATTGGAGACGGCATTCCAAACTCCCCCTGAACTCACCCAATCTAAACCATCTGCCAGAAACTTCACATGCATGTTATGCCATAGTAGTCTGAGGGAAATCAATAAGGTATTTGAGATAAGAGTTAAAGAAAAATTTTACAAACAGGGAAAATTTCCTAGCATGTCTAAAATCCGTTGGCCTTGGCAAGGACAGGGACCTTGGCTAAATTTGGATGATAAGGAATAGGATGGAAGAAGAAAATGACTTTTTGCTCTGCGCTTGACAACACCAGTAGGGTCCTGGTCCACGGCTGGGTTTTGTAGGTGCTTCACAATACTAATACATAATAATGATAACAATAGCCATTGCTGTTCTGTAGGAACTCACCAGGGTCATTAATGGGCACACGGCACAGACACATGGTTTAGAAATTCCACAATAAGCAAATAGGAACAGATTTTTCAAAAGCACTTATGGAATTTAAGAGTACAACTCCCATTAACATACATATAAAAGCGCTCACCACCACACTATTTCACAGCATTAAATTTTCAAGGTTCCACATGACTTATCCCTACCCTATCTCTCATTCAGTATTGAAAGGTTGACCCCCACTTCCAATTAGCCAATGATGCCAGCCTCCATTGCCCACGATTTACATTTTCAAACAAGCACCTTCATGCTTTCTCCCTTGCTGCCCCACACACTTGGGAGGCACTCCCCGTAAACATCTGCACAACTACAGTACAACCTATGAGTTATGAACACCTCAGGAATGGAGGTTGTTCGTGACTCTGAACAAAACGTTATGGTTGTTCTTTCAAAAGTTTACAACTGAACATTGACTTAATACAGCTTTGAAACTTTACTATGCAGAAAAAAAGTGCTTCCTTCCCTTTTTTTTTAAAAGTAGTTTACATTTAACATACTACTGTATTTGCTTTTTTTTTTTTAGGTCTCTGCTGCTGCCTGACTATGTACTTCCGGTTCCAAAGGAGGTGTGTGGTTGACTGGTTAGTTTGTAAGTCTGGTGTTCGTAACTCTGAGGTTCTACTGTACCGCATTATCCACCTTCAACTCCCTCCTCAAAACTCCCCTTTGCCATGAAGCCTACAAAAAACTTGACAATGGCTGGGCTGCTGGCATGCTGAGACCACTGCCTATCATGCTGACCAACGTTATCTCATTGTTTCCTTGTGTGCCTCCGTGGGTCTATCTGTATCCATCTGGTGTCTCTTTCCTTATATTTAAGTTTATAAACTTTGGGGCACTGGACTGTCTTTTTTTCTGTGTTTATACAGCACCTAGCACAATGGCATACCACATAAAAATAATTTTACTCAACATGTTTGATTCCTTTCAAGTTGTGACCGACCAACCCTCCTCCCCCCAGACTCTGACCAAATAAATATGAAGTTTCATGCTAAAAAGACTGCTTCGAAAAAAGTTAAGTTTGCCAAAAATAATGGGAGAGTTTCAAAGACAAAGGGCAGCCAGGAATCCAACCCTCTTTGAGGGTCAGTAGGAGTTGGCCATTTGTGCCTTTGAAAGTCTCCTCCAAAGAGTATAGTGCAAAGCTAGTTGCAACTTTAATAATGAATTCATGACTGTGGGTCCCATAACTGACATTCACACTCAGCAACGCATGAAGACACTGTTTTGTTTCTTAAACTATTCCTACCCACATTTGCTGCAGCCAGAGCAATATCCCATTGCTTTTTATTTCTAACACTACAACAAGCTTAGAACCACACCTGTGAAGCTGGATTTAAAACCAGGAGGAGGTGGTGTCTGATTATTCTGCCAAGACGTCCTAGAGTATCCATCACCATTAGAGAAATCCTGTTGAGGCAGCCGATTACTGAGGAATAGCTTGTAACATCCATAAGCAAGGAGCAGAAGTACTATTACGATGATCACTCCAGCAACAGAGTTAGAGGAATCCTGAGAATTCACTTTACTTGACTGGTAATAGCTGGAGCCAAAGCTTCCACCAAAGTTGTTTGCTTTTCTTTGGCCTTCCTCGGTTAACTCTAACCCGTACTGCAAACCACAAGATCCCCTTAAGATGTAAGGGTCGTCTGGATAATCATAGCCTTCACAGCTCACTTCGATTCTTCCAAAGCGATAGGAGTTGTCCAAGTCTGCCTTACACTCCCACTGAAATTAGTAAACAAAATTCAAAGTAATAATCATTTCCTGGTAGGTGAGAATAGCTCTTTTGTTTGCTTTCCTATATATGTAGTGAAATATAGCAATAATTAATAAAATAATTTAAAAACAGTAATTAAGAGAGCTTCTGGACATTTGTATTTTAAAAGTTAGCTATCAAGATTCACGAACCTTTAACTTAGAGAAACTGAACATTCAAAAAGTAAAGCAATTGTAACTTTAAAGACAGTGTTTCAGTAGTTCACATATCAGGTTTTTCTAAGCATTCATCTTTAAAGAATACTGCAGAGTATCATGCATTAAAAAAAAAAGCCTTTAAAATGTTTTAATAAGTGTCCCCCACAAGAAAGCTGTGCGGTAGTTACAATGAAATACTAATAAAGGTTCCAATCCTGCAATCTGATCCATGTCAACAGACTTGTATCCAGGTGGAGCTCCATTGACATCAGTGAGACAGAAGGGCTGCCCACACAGATTAAATTGCAGGATCAGAAACAATGATGTAATGAAACCATTCCGTAAAGTATCAGAGCGGTAGCCGTATTAGTCTGAATCTGTAAAAAGCAACAGAGGGTCCTGTGGCACCTTTAAGACTAACAGAAGTATAGGGAGCATAAGCTTTCGTGGGTAAGAACCTCACTTCTTCAGGTGCAAGTCATCTGAAGAAGTGAGGTTCTTACCCACGAAAGCTTATCATTCTGTAAAGAAAGTCATAAATGCAACTCCTAAAGATGTGCCTATCTCAAACAAAAAAATGGCCTTAGCCATAGGGCACACACAGCTTTAGCAAGATTTAAATAGGTAATTTCTGAAGAAACAATTCAGATTGACATGTGCAATTGTAAATCCAGATTCAACTGAATTTACAAAGTAATACCAAGATCTTTCAGTGTTTCTATTCCTAAGACTCCCATTTCAGCTTTTCTTCCTTAGAGATCTATTTTGCTATTACCCAAACTTTTGACAATTGGATAAAATATTAAAATTTAAACCACATTTTTGCTTGAAAGATTTGCAGCAGTTTAACTTAAATTGGTTTTAAAAATCAGTTTAGCTAAGATGGTACAAACCTCTGTGTTTGGTTACAGAATGCCTTGTTTCAGGTTTAGCATAAATTGATTGGCAATCTGTTTTAGCAAAGCCAAAATAAGGGTGTCCAAGTGTGGTCTTGCACTGTTTTAACTAACTCAGTTTAAAAATAATTAAGTTAAACTCTGCAACTTTCTCATGTAGACTAGACCTTATTTTTACACTAAAGAAAGATATGGGTAATATGGAGACTTTTGTATTGGTCTTTGATTTCAGGAAGGGTATTTTAAGAAACCTAACATTTGGATCAAATTTAAAGAAATAATCTGCACTATAATTTAGAAATGTTCTTGTGATTCTTTTCAGTTTATGGTTGCTGAAAATTTCATTCAGTCTGTGCAAAGAGTTTCTTATTTAATATTTAGCATTTCATTTACATGCACTTTTAAGTGAAGCTACCTGTATGTCAAAGCCATCCCAGCCTTTGTTATGACACTGAACAATCGCGGGGACGTATGCACATCCAGCCGTACCTCCAGTACATTGTAACTGGGGAATTGGAGATGTCCGCCGAGAAGTAGTATATTGATCTCTGTAGAAAGTGAGAGCTTGGACCTCCCGCAACAAAACTCTCCCTGAAACAGGAAGTACACAAATTAACAGAACTAACATCCATGAAGAATTTGTTTCAGAACAAGAGTAAATGTGACAGTTAACACAAGCAGCCTGCCAAGATGCTTTCAGAACAGGGAGCACCAGAGTGGATTTGATTTAAATCACTAGTCAGGAAGACTCGATTTAATCATGGATTTCTACATAAAAGTGCACTCCTGTTGGTTGTTATAACCTTAATACATATTCTTCACAGGTAGAGGAACTCCATTAAAATATTCCCAAACTGGGTCTCTTTTACGGCCTGCTGCCATTATATGTTTTCCCTTCTAGTGAGAGAATGGTATGGTAGATCTCAAATCAATGAAGGCTACACTCAGAAAGACCTCAAGACTTCTGGAATATGCTGCTCAAACAGTTTCACTTTTGTTTCTACTGCCTGTCCCTCCCTTTTCACATTTATCTCCAGACTTCTTCTCCTTGTCCAGATCTATTCTGCCCCCAACAATCTTCTAATTCATTGAACTTTTTTAAACTTTGCACTTTTAGAGAGAGAGAGTCAGGGACTGATTCTGTGTACATAATTTGCAGAGGGACAATAGGGTTGAGGTCTGTTATTTCTCACCTCTATATATTATTTTATTTATTTATTTAAAAACATTTTTGCTGTTAACAAGCATGTTATCTCTGGAGACACAAATCCACATTTTGAGAACTGACAAAAACT